CTGCCCCCACCAGCTCGGAACCCCGTTCTAGAACCCCAGATCCTGCCGTTTCCCCCAGCAACTCATGAGGCCATCCCTGGAACGTCTGAGCAGGAGCCACGGGATGGCGACAGACCCTCCCCCGCTTCCCGGAGCAGCAGCGGGGACCCTGTGTGACGTGCCGTGCGGAGGGTCTCTGGGCCCCGGCCGGGCTGTGTGGCCGGAGCTGAGACCTTCCTGTTCGCAGGAACCTGCCCCCAGGCCCCACGCCCAGTTTGCACTGCAATCCAGACCTGGTTCCTGTCTGAACGTCTCGCTTCGCAGATGCAGAAACCCAGGCTCGGCAAGGCAGACGCAGAGCTGGGGCTCAAGCCCAGGCCCCCAAGTCCCAGCCCAGCCTGCACGGGCCTCCTGAGAGGCAACTCTGGGACAGAGCCAGGTCTGAGAGGGACAGCTGCATACTCCTAGGAGCTGTGTGGCTTCAAAGCCCCAACAGGCAGGAACCGAATGCTGGCCGAGCCATCCCACCCCAACCCGTCCAAGAAAAGGAGAAGTGACCTCCGGGGCGTGGCAGCTGGGGACTCCAGAAATCTCTAAACACGACCACAGAGAACCATAACGTCCATTACTGTGCACAAGAGCAGGTGCGGACCACCCCTCGCTGGCCACGGTCTTCCCAGCCCCACGTCCCCAACCCGCAAAGCCTCTCCTTAGCTTCCCGCATGCTCCCCGTCTCCCTCCCCAGAACGAGCAGAGGGAACCCCTTCAAACCTACAGGATGTCCCGCCCTGGCTCACAGCCCCAAAGTAGCCTGGTCCCACCCCGCTCGGCGCGAAGGCCTGGAGGCCCCGCCCTGCCTGCCTCGGGAGGCTGTACCTGCGTCCCCTGCTGCCCGGAGCGGGGTCCCCCTCCTGCAGCCTCTGCTCTGGCGTCTCTCACGAAGCCTCCTCCTACCGCCTTCGTGTAAAACCCGACCCGGGCCTCGGGCCTCCCCGACCCCTGCTCGTCTGCTTCGTGGCGCTGATCCTCATCCAAGTACACGATGTACTTTTCTTCCTCTTTCTTCCTTTTTTTAAGTTGTGACCTATGATGATGCGACAGCAAACGGACCATCGTGATCATTTTCGAGCGTGCAGTTCGGTGGCATCGAGCACGTTCGCATTGCTGCGTCGCAGACGCCGCCATCCACCTCCAGAACTTTCTCATCTTGCAAGAAAACTGACACCCTGCCCTCCCCCCCCCGAAACGCTGACTCCCCAGCCCCTGGCACCCACCATTCTGCTTTCTGTCTCTGTGAATTTGACGATTCGGGGCACCTCATCTAAGTGGAATCCCACAGTATCCGTCCTTTTGTTTCTGGCTTATTCCGCTCAGCCTTCCGGGTTCATCCGTGGTGTAGCCCGCTCTCTTTTTTAAAAGTGTCCCTCCCACGGGAATGGGGGCTCCCTGAGGGTGGGGATCTGGGCTGGCGGTATTCACGGTGGCACCTCAGGGCCTGAAAGAGCACCTGGCATCCAGCAGGCACTGAATGAATCTTTTGAATGAGCGAATGAACACACGTGTGAAAGAATGAAGACTTCGTAGAGGTTAGTATCCCTCAGGTGTGGGCCTGCCCCTCCCCCCACCGGGGATCCGCTCCCAGTGATAGTGGTGGCCCTGGCACATAACTAGAGTCCCAGCCCCACTGTCCAGAAGGGCGACCACACTCAGAGCTGCAGGAAACACCCCCGCACCTGATGGGGGCGTCCCCCGCCAGACGTGCCAAATCTATGGGAAAACTGTCACCACGGACGGAGTCCCCAGCCGTGGACTTGACAATGTGTCTTGGAGCCTCACAGTAGCCCCATGCAGGGCTTGGCAGTGAGGACAGCCGGAGGAGGGCAGGGGCCTGGGACACACAGACTCTGCGGACGGAAGAGGGGGGCCGGCCCCCGACGGACGGGGTGGGGCCGGCGCGGACGCAGACGCTGCTGGGGAGAGAGGCCTGCCACCTTGGCGGTCCCCTGCCTTTCACCTCTCCACATCCTGCCTGGCTATTTATAGCGTCCTCCTCTCTGAGAACTCATTTCCCCATGTTTCTGGGCCACACGAGCTTGGAAACTCGAAGGCGGACCCCCCTCCACACACACGCAGCGAAACCGAAGGGGCGAGAGCCCTCTGGCCAGGCCTCCGGTGCCTCGCTGCCTGAGTCACGCACGGCTCCCAGGCCTCAGGTGGCTCCCCGTTGCCAGAGTGGGGTGCCCCAGGGCAGGAGGCATCCGCGGAGACGGCAGCAGCCCAGCCGGACCTCAACGGGAGTTGCTGCAAGACGGTGACCCCAAAAGGGCCCAGACCACCCCACGGCTCCTCCCTGCTCCGGGAAAACAAACAGATTGGGACGGTGGAAAAACAGCTGTACCTTTAAATAATTTGGCCCACAGATACAAAAAAACATTTGCATGTCGAAGCTGTTTGCAAGTTTGGTTATTTTTAGGGTGAACCCGGTTGCCTCCCCTTGGAACCGGATGAAGCCCAAGAGGCACGTACTCGGTTTTCCCAGACGGGGGTCCCGGTGTCGTGCCCTGGGAATGAGAACTCCAGCCCGAGACCCTGGGGCGGGCGGGCGGGCCGCACGGCCCCCCCGCGGCCGCCCACGCCGGGGCGG